TGACGTGCAGTCACTAACATGTACTATCGTGTAGAAGGTGGTCGCATTTATTATTAGGAACACAAAGTTGTTACAACATGAACTTTAGTACATATGTCACACAAAAATACAGAATAAATGAGGGTGGTCACCCATAAAGTAAACAAGCACACTTGCCTGACTTCAGTAACTTATATCAAGTGCAAACTGAATTTCAATGTAGGACTTTTCAGTTCCAGTTGCCACATTTCATAGTTAAAAATAAAGAGAAATATGCTAAGAAACCATAGTAAGCAGAAGTGTGTGGCAGCGAGAATCATTGGGATTTAATAGATCTGGGGAGTCACAGTTAGTTGACAGACAGACAGAGAGAGACGTCTAATTGGGTTTACAAATTTAAATGTATCTGCAGTGGCAGAACCAAAAAGCCTAAGTCTCAAGGGAACAAACGCTTACATTCGTGCTATTGTCATGTGTCTCGTCGATACAGGTCATGAGGTTAATACCATGAAATTTTGACAATTATCGATGGACAATACCGTTCAATTCTCTTCAAGTCTGCCTAAGCAATTAAATGCCTGAAACCGTTTTCGTATTTAGAAAAAAGCAATTTTCAGTTTTCCCTTGTCCTAGCAACTGGATGTCTTTACTATGTCGATTACGTATACTTTGGGTTTAACCTCTTCCCCTTCGCTATAATATAATTCCGTTTATCTCTAGCTTCCAAGATTTGAGTCAAACTCATCACGCTGCCACTCAACTTATTGGTTACCAATCATATTCACCTCTTATCTCTATTACACAAAAGCTTTGCCATTGTACGAAGCCTTTATTTTTGTTTAGGATTAAGCCTTTTGTGTATGAATCCACTCTCTACAGAAAATTCAAAGGACAACCAAAGTATAAAAAAATATTATTCTTTTCTGTAATAGGCGAGATAGAGCGACACAGGCTTGTGAAAGCTAGGCAGACGATGTGTCTTCTTCCAATGAAAGCAAAATAAGCATGGGGACGTGGAGTGTTCCTACAATGTACGAAATTGGAAAGGCTGCCCCGGTAGCAAGAGATGAGATATGGTATAAAATTGTGATGAATCTGTAAGAACAAGTGGAACGGGAGTGGACTCTCCGAATCCATAACTGGTGAGTCAATATTCTACTTCAGTCATCCAGACTACAACCACGAGCATACTGAGGCAGTCGCTATCATAATGTCGCCGCCAACAGCAGCCAAAGCTCTTATAGTGTTAACCAATATTTCCGAGGATCATGACAAGATTCAACACAAAAGGAAGGCAAGTAACAATCACCTAATGCTATGCTCCTACACATAACTCAGAATATGAAAAGGGATATTTCTACAGAAAACTGCAAACAGTAATGGATAAGACGGAGGTCAGGTCAAATGGTGACAACGCAGCTAAACTAAGTGCAGAAAACATATGAAGCGAAGTCATTATAGGTCGGGAGGCTCTCGCTGAATGAGAACGTGTGACTCTTCATAGACTAGTGTGCCTTCAACGATTCGGTAATTGAAAGCAAGGGTACACGCAAGAGACATGGGTTTCACCTAAATGACACCAAAATTCAGATTTAATCTCAAACGCAAGTGGAGATGAAACCTGTAGGACAAAAAATCGAGGATAAGAATAGATGTAGGTTCATACCACTATATAGTGCAAGGGACCTTCAACGTCAAGCTGAAAGCGATCAAAACGACTGGAAATAGACTACAAATCAAGTTCTATACTCAAAAGTTGAAGAACACCTTCACTTCAGCTCTCAGAACAAAGTCGTTGAAGTTTCACCGAGGAAAGTTGTGTGCAATAACTCTGAAAGTGACGTTGACAGGAATGTGTACAGCCATTTTAGGGAGAATGCAGAGGCGAGACAAGGACTGGCTCTCCACAGACACCTGAAAGCTAAAACGGAAAAAGGTGAAACAGAAGATGGACAATAGGAGATGAGCTCGATGTACAATGCAATAAATAAAGTGAGGAGTGTAAAGAAAGAAAAATGACATATCTACGATATATTAGCTACAGAAGCAGAACAGACCATAGGCAAAAGAGATCCCAGAACATTACATCTCTATTCGAAGATCAATGGAGATGAAACTAATAAAAGATAGTGAAGGGCATTTGATTATCAGAGAAAGAACCCAAGAGAATAAGAATAAATAATGCAACTCACTGTTCACTTATAAGTAGACAAATTCAGAATGCAAAAGCATCTAGGTCATTTAGCCACTAGAAGTTTGAAATGTAGATATGCCGAATGTAATACGTGACGATCTGATCTTGTGAAAAGCGATCAGCCTAAACATACTTAAGCTGGAAACAAAACATGCTCATATCAGTCTGATCTGTTATAAGATCACACCATTAACAAGTGATTTCTAGCAACGTTACGATTGACAAAAGTAAACTTAACCGGTTGCTAGCATGACTTATGTTAATTGACTGAATTTGTTCAGTCATTAGCCTTAAAATATTTCCAAAGACTTCCACTTTTAGTCACGTAACCCATTCGTTGTATTCCACTCTATTGACAGCCGTAGAATTTACACTACTCCACTTTAATGGCATTGCTTATTATGCAACATGGGAAAAGTGTTCAAGACACAGGCACAAGACATTTTCTAAATGCCTACTTATTTCCTATGATTTCTCCATGCTTAATCATATCTCATTTCTTCTGCTTTGAACAAACTGTGACAGCTCCATGGACCCTACACATAACCGAGAATAGTTATGCCAAGACTTCAGCGCCACCTGTGAGATATAACGCAGTACATAAACAATGCTGTTTCATGAATACAGAGTCAGTCATATTGAGCCGATGCCAGGCATTAAAAATAAGCAATTTCCCATAGTTAGTAACAAACCATAAATTCGCAAGCTGTTGAATATGAGAAAAAAGTGGATATAAGGGAACTAATGTATTCTTTACTTGTACAACATACAAAAATGGGAGGTCACAACATGTTATCCTAAATAATATACGGTAGTACTGAGTAAAGTTTTCTTTACGGGGAGTGGATATGAAGTAAGGGTTTCCTTCAAGCATACTGAGTCATATTCAACAGTAAATTCAAACAATAGTGTTAGAGGACATGTCAACAGTACTCCACCGTATGATAAATGGTGATAATACATGTGATAAAGATGCTTCGAAAGACTTAATACCTTGCTGTGCGAGATGAGACCGTTTTCTCCCAAGATTGCTTCCTGACACACGCGTGCAGGATGTGAGACGACATTCCAGTGGTCTCTGTGCATTTCTTTAAGTAAATATTCTTTAAAATACATTTGCCAATATTCCCGACTGTCATAATCACATAATATCAATGGATTCGGATGAAGACATAATTTATTTGGCATAAACCTATCATTTTGGCTATTATTGCAGCCGTAGGTGACGTTTCTTATGTTTTATGTCGGTGTGTAAGCCGGACTTGTTTCTTTTTTCTGCCGCCTAAGATTCACAAAAATCATATGAGGATTCATCGAATCATTCATTTAAGTATTGGCTTGAGTATGACATCACATTATCTGGAGGTAAAACTGCTGAGTGTATTGCAGCCTCATCTGTGCAACTGCCTGTAGGATTAAATTATTTACGTTGCACGACTACTTTGAAACTTCGTAGGTCGATGTGTTTTCTCTTAAATATACTGTAGCGGTAAATAATTCCCCAAAATTATTGATCATAGCATTCGCCCACTGAACATTGGATGCTGATCCTCACTGTTTAAGTCGACTAGTTTAGCTGAAGGCTTCCGGTCAAGCCTCCACGCCATTTGGTACTCCATTGTGTCACGTTCGTGCACGATCACTAGCCAGTTAAGCAATCATCTCCGTCTACGATTTCGTCCCGAAAAATATATCTCGTAATTTGGACGATCAAATATTGACTTTTGCTTCACCTTTGGTCCACGAGAAACGAATATTATAGAAGTTGTTGGTATAAGATCTTGCGTTAGTATACTCTGTACAATTCGCGAACGTCAATACCGTTAGTCTCTAAAATACTTACTTTCGATCGTAGGTGCTTGATTTGATTTTCTAGCCGATTGTTCTCAGAATGACGTACCCCGGAACAGTTTGCTCGTACATGATCGGAGGAAACAGCAGAATGAAATTCTTTCCTCATTCATTTTTCAATGATGATTGAATGAACGAATAATTCATAACAATTTCCTTTCCCTCTTACCTATTCATTCCAGTCTGATGAAACATGTGTATAACATTGTCTGTATAATAAAACAATTGAAACTACAATGGGAAAATGTCTATTCTTCCACTTAAATCATACCCATTGATGAAGTGAAAAATGCATAACACATTACAATACCCAAATAATTGCAGTTTTCGACTGTTTGAATGACTCCATAAACCCACATGATGATGTGAAGAATAAGGGTAATACAGCGTTACTATTTTTCATCAAAAGCCCTTAGTAGACACTACTGAACCTTTCGAAGTTGAAAACAATCAAGTGATCAATTTTAAATAAACCAGAAGTGTAAGGGATAACGTAATTCTGAGATTAAAATTGTATAATTATACCCACATGAAACTGTGGTACTCAATGAATAATAATAATGAATAAAACAGCGCATCACACATTTGAAAATGAGAAAGTATTGTCAAAGTACACCTTTGTCATAATTAAAATCCACATAATGGGAAAGCATAGTTAATAAATATATACCAAAAAAAGTTGAAAAATGCTAGGAACTCAAAGACATGAAAAGAGGTTAGTAAATTAAATCATATAAACCAAGTAAGCAAATATTTAGTTCGCAGTGGAAGGAACGCGAGCATGTGAGCACCATAAAATGGACAAACCTTAAAATTGTCGGGTGAACAGATATTTATAAGACATAAGGCACATATTGAAAAAATGTACAAAAAAATAATTAATGAAATTAAAAAAGAAACTGCAAAAAGCTTAACGGGAAAATACAGCAGATTTATGAGACAGGGAACTGGAATAATAACGACATAATCACCTTCACTATTCAGGATTGTTTGTTGTTGTCAATCTATCGTGATTAGATGAAACTGCTTTACTGCAACCCGAACCATTCATACCATGATTACGATTTGACAACGGCTTTCTTGGTTGATTTTTTTGTACGTGGTCATTTCTCTCAGATGTTGGTTTAGTCGTATTTGTATTTTCTTTAACTTCCGAAGTACAGTGATTTTCTTTTTGAGAGACAGTTGAGACAGAATCCTTTTGTATATGGTTTGATCCTGATGTGTTTTGTCGGCGACCACTGTATTTTGATACTGTGGTATTATTTTTATGACCCCAACGGGGAATGTTTGAATAAGAACGGGAGTTGTCGTTTGATTTGTTTTGATCTATCTTTTGGTTTTTTGCTGAACTTGAATGGTTTTCGCAAATATCTTGATGATACGAAGGTAACTGATTAGTACTGGCATAAGCCTCATCATCTTCGATGGCAAAAGAGACTAGAGATTGGTAATCAATGTAACTGTACGCAAAGGGATAATAAGGTATTGATGAATTGTTTAGCCAACATTGCCTTCTGGGATAAATAAGAAGTGGAACGGCCATATATAATCCACTGTTGCAAGCATTGGCTAGAATGTCCAAAAATCCATGAGATGAATACGGCTGTGAATACGGTTCACCAAATGCTACGGAGGCTCGACAACAGGTTTCCATACGTACTGCAAATGCATGAACACGACCGCTATTGAAGAATGTTCTTAGTAAATGTAAATCAGGAATATCTGAATATACGGGGAATGCATGAGCCCAGCTGACATGGATAGCTTGAAATGGAACTCGCATGTATTTCGCTCTGAAAGCAATGGTAAAAATAGTGTATTTTAATCACATTAAAAATGTCTATAATAACGACGTAACTTTCCAACTCCGCACTCACCAATCAGCAAGGCGTATCTGTAACCTTGAAGGAACTCATGTCGCTTGTGAGATTCGAACCCGCGTCACTCAGTGAATGTTGCAGTCAAAAACTTTTCCATTCCTTTACGTTCCCAGTGGAACATAGGGCTTCAAGCTACACGCTTGGAGTTCCTCTAGCAGTGTTCACTTTCACAGGGTGGGGTTGCTACTCTCATGCCCAACCTTTACCAGCTTTATTACTAGCTTACCGAGGTAAAGGAGTGCATCAGCCGGGAGTCGAACCCCGGAGCATGTGCATAGCCGGCGAGCGCACTAACCACGGTGTCACCGATGCACCTGTCAGAGACGTTTTCACTGAGCTATTCGGACTCATGATTGACTTCTTGTAGGACTGTTTTGAATACTTTGACCGAATACTAGTTAGTAACTAGCGCAATGTGTTCAGCCCTTTGTTTGGTGAGGACTGAATTCTTTCAGTTAGTTATGACAAACCACTTAGGATGGTGGCCACATTGCAAACTTCAATAAAAGTATTCTGTTATCACAGAGGGAAAAATTATTACTGCAGTTGCATAATTCATAAAAAATACGAAGGAAATTTCGCTTATCGTAAGTGCGTTTAGGACTAGCACTAACATAAATTTTTCTACCGGTACGAAATTCACTTCATTACTGTCACTTTTGTTCATCAGTGGCTGCTTTCGCTCGACACTGAACATCAGATGGAAAAACCAGTAAGAACAAACAACAGAGAGCTCTCACAGCGTAGCTAACCAGCCAAGAACCTATGACGGAACATATATGCGGAAGGAAGTAGAACCGGATGTGACATATGCTGAGAACGCTGTTGTGCAACATTTCACACCATGTTAGGCATTGATGGAACCCGGTTTGGAAGTGATTAGTTGGGCGTCCGATAGTGACATAGACGAGACCATATGAAATGAAATCTCCTGAGTAGTCGTAGTACTGGTTGTAAGTGGTAGCAGGGAACCGAGTGGAATGGAGATGTGCCATTGAAGTCCTATACTCCGCTCAGAATGCAAGGAACAAGTAAATAATACTAACTTTCACTGTTATACAGTGAAGGGTTATGGTTTATTGTGTGTTGATTCACATCCTACGACCATATTAACAACACACTCAGTTAAACCACGCAGTATTACTGCCCAATGTGGTGCACTCAAAGTGCCATTCACTAGCACAAACCGCTAGAATTAGGTTTACTGGTTGTTACACCTTTCTGGTAAAAAATACTAACAACCCTTGCTTTTATTTGGCTGACCACTTAGAACGTACAGTTATTTCATTCTCCTGAAGTAGTATTATTTCTAGATTTTCCCTTTGATAACAAAGACAACTGTTTTCATGAAAAGGTGCTTTAATCATTAATGTTACATTTCTTAAGGTTGCCATCTATCAGAAAATAAGATATATTCTCGGTCTGAATTTTATTTTTCTGATCACCTATAATTATTCGAATGTTATATCTGTGGGGTTTAATTGGTTCCAGTGTTAATTTTATACTGAACGGAAACCGCTTATTCACCAACTACAATGTATAGTGATGGAACTATGTGGTCAAACGACAGTGGTGCTATCACAAACTAACATTAACTACAGAGGCTGAAAAAAACTGAAGAGTAGTGACCCATTTGTTTTCCAATCTAGTTTAGCATTAGTGAATGGTATTCCTATTCAACTAGATAAAAAATCAAGTCTAGATTTGTTATGTCCACCATAGGTTGTTGCTTGTTTACTCAGTAAGAGAGAATAGTTCAATAATTTAAACAAAAACACTTGATATCACTGGCAGAATACACTTCATTTTTTATAAGTGTATATGTGATATTACTTAAGGGTTTTCTCAGCGCATGGCCACACCTCAATTAGTTGGGAAGTAGGTTCTATAAAGACGATATATACTTTGCCTGTCATTCGAGGTCTGGAAATTCCATCTCAATGTTGAGAAAACAGTCATCAGTTGAACAAGCATGAAGTTTTGTTATAAACTGCTCATACATGCATTTCATTGATTACAAGCCGATACTCAATAATCCAACCAAAATCTTTTTCAAATGTCACAAGCATTATAAAGCCACCAAGATTTAATGAGTGAACTTTATCAGAAACCCTTCTTCAAAGTATACAACTAGCAATTATGGTGAGAGCCCTGTATCCCGTTTTTAAAGACGAATATATTCTGCTTGAAAAAAGGAACTGAGTTCACATAGCAACACAAATCACGGTAGGAAATCGGACTAACGATAAGAAAAGGAAGTTCAATGTCTCGGGGTTGTAAACATAAGAATTAATATTTATTCAAAAATCTGACGTTTTCTGCATCTGTCTGAACTTTATACCTACCTACAAGTTATTTTGGCGCGACAATTTGCTTTCGTTAATTTTACCTGTCTTGGTATACGCCAATACTAAGTAATACAGTAGTCGAAGAAAATAAATGCAGTACCTAACGAAGAGGTCCATGCACCAAACATTTCCTCTTTAAAGAGTTCAAAAAAGTCAAATGAACGCAATCCGAGATGTGACTAATTATTTTATCAAACACAAAGTTCGTACAATATGGGCACCACAATATGAGTAACACAAAAAGAGTAAAACACAACATGTGGTATAGCAGTAAAATGATTGAAGAGTATGACCACCAAAATCAAGTACGCATATTTAACAAGTACATTCAAGGAGTAATTATCACTTCATGTTATTTTCTGAAGGATAAAGGAGAAAACTACAGCATGTTTACCATTGACTACGATCCTCAGACATACTAACGCCTAAGGCCACCGATCCAGACTATCTCTTAGGTAGTCATGATGTGTAAGGTAAGGTTCTGATGCTGCATAGATTGAAACGGCTAAGACGTTTATTACGAATGCAACGACAGAGACTTCCTTAACAAACAATGCTAATTGATATGAGACTAAGTCAGAGAATAGCCGGAGATAGTCAAACCAAAGCATGGTAACAGTCCACGGGTGTTGGTTTGAGTCACTTAGGAATATGTAAACTACCTGGCCGGGATCTTGGAGACACTAAAAAGTAACAGATGAATACTGTTGGTGACACTGCTCGAAATCGCTGTCAGTGGTGCAGATGCATTTACTAACTGTGACTCCCCAGATCTATTAAATCCCAATGATTCTCGCTGCCACACACTTCTGCTTACTATGGTTTCTTAGCATATTTCTCTTTATTTTTAACTATGAAATGTGGCAACTGGAACTGAAAAGTCCTACATTGAAATTCAGTTTGCACCTGATATAAGTTACTGAAGTCAGGCAAGTGTGCTTGTTTACTTTATGGGTGACCACCCTCATTTATTCTGTATTTTTGTGTGACATATGTACTAAAGCTCATGTTGTAACAACTTTGTGTTCCTAATAATAAATGCGACCACCTTCTACACGATAGTACATGTTAGTGACTGCACGTCAGGTCACAGTGGTTAGATCCCATAAAGGTTATAAACCAACTTGTGAGGAAGTGGAAGATAACGGTGTTTTGAAGACTACCTACAGCCTAGGGTGAAAACTGGGATTTCCGATTGGCAAGACTGAACACCAAAGTATATGTCTGTCTGTCTGGATTCAACATAGAACTTGGCACCGAAGTGCAGCAGTTCGAGTTGCCACGTTCCAAATAGCACACAGAGGTAGACAAGAAGATGAGTGAAGAGAATCAATACAGTCTGACAAGTATAAGAGTGAAACAGAATGGGTAATGGTAGAAAGGAATATGAAAGATTACAGAGACTGAATACATCTGCGCTGGCCATTGACAACGATTTTGAGCCATGTCACCTATTGTCTCCAGCCATTGATTCCTAGAGTCCCGAGGGCCCCAACCCGGGAGTCTGCTTCTCCCTACCTGACTCAGTTTAACTGTCATGGATTGATGCCATGTTTTTGTTTGACTACCACTTACTCGTTTCCAACCTGCACCTATATCAGCTAGTAATGCCAGTCGGAGGAGGCGATGGTTAGGCATGCGCAGCACGTGACCTAGTCATCTCAATCTATGTAACTTTATAGCCTCATCGATTGATTTTCCCTCTTTGCCCAACACTCTACCTAAAGTATATGTATTCAGTACCACCACCCGTGAGATTAAAATAAGATGGAGTGACGTAATGTGGTATCAAGAGGTGATATTGATACCCTTCATACATGGCAATTCCACATTAGGAATAACTAAGAATGACAGAAAACCACAAACGGTTGACTGCGTGACGGATATGAAATATAAAATGGAGACAGATTAATGAGATTGTAAAAATGAACAAGAAATGAAGCCTGACAAACCGGCCATAAACCTTTGGAAGTTGGGGGACGAACGAAACGTAGGGAATTTAAATGCACTATACATAGTAGATGAGGATCGTAGAATCTACTCCGCAATTTAGAATGACTGCATCAAAATGCTCAGTGAGGTACAATGAAATACATAAGTACTCTCAAAGGTGGGACACAGTTGTCTTGATATGCAGTACTAAGCCAAAAGGAATACTGAATTAGTTCGTCTAGCAGCATGAAGGACACCAGTGGAGAGACATGTGGTAAATGTTGGAAAGCTGAACAGTGACTTGGGAGTAATTACAGACTATATTTAAACAGCGGAAGTTCTGGAGAAATGAGTACAATGGAACACGTGGAGACTATCTATATGGCTTTGAAAAGTTTTCTCCAAGTTTTAATTGCCACAATTTTACACCTTGTGATGTGACTTATAATACACCCTAGCAGCCCTAATCGGATCAGAAACTGATAACTAGAAGCACTCGATATATTTTAACAGTCCCGTTACCACTATAAATGCACTTTTTCGTTGGAGCATTGCAACACGATTACCTACCGTGCATTTGTTTAATGCGTCAGTTATGAGACAATGTGTAGAGACAAGAAAATTGGTTTGGAGAAATGTCAGGCCAAATTACCAGTTTGAACGGGCACATAAAATTAAAGAATAGAATATCACTACAATGAATTAGCGATGTGAGTAGGCAAATACGCATAAGTACATTTCAGTGTCTGGAAAGTGTGCAAAAGCTTTTGGTTGGAACATCACCTGTATGCAACTAGTGTTTTACTTTTCGACAACTATAACCACTAAAACATCTTCCTCACTGACTATAACTAATAAGCAGTAACCACCCTCCCGTTGTGGTATAATTACTTCTTTCTAAATTATTGCTTTTTCGAAATAAAATGAATCAACAAGATGTCTAACACAGATCTTGCCCAACTGAACTGAAACTATGCAGTCCCACTTGTTGACTTTGTTGTGGATACACTTCCTACGCGTCACATCTTAACTCCATTTGCTGTGCTGCGATCGTTTCACATTAACGGCCAACTTACGTTAGCGGTGACATAACATTAGTAATAGCTTCATCCCTTAACAGTACATACTGTATCATGTATAAAACGCACCCAGCAATATATTTGGAAAAAACAAGCCATCTGAATCTTCTAAGTATGTGCAAAACCTGAATATTAGCATATGATTTATCGGGACACACCGTGAACAAGTGATACTTAGTAGGATTCAATTCAAACATAATGTATTCTGTCAATTAAAATGGAAAATGAAAAGTTTTGAACATTTGACTTAGAATCTCTCGACTCGAGGAACTAAGTTTTTCTGTAGATATTTGTATCGATTCTGCAGCTTAGTGGTGTACCGCCAGAGCTGATTGTCACTGCCGTCATTAATAGACAAACTAATCAGATATCCTATACAGTCAACCAATATATTGGCATGTAGTGTTTGTAAAGACACACACACAACCACTTACCTGATTTTCTTCAATTTGTTCAACTGTACGACTCCAAATGTGCCATGATCCAGCAGGTAATAGAATGCGGTCTTCGGCCAGGTTGGATATATACTAATAATTAAAGCCCTTGCAAATCCATGACTATGCGGTACCACAGCAACTGTCCCTGATGTCACTGGTTCGCATAGTTGCATACGGTAGCTATTAGTGGAGGAATAATCCTTGTCAAGTTCAGCTTCCATGTCCAAGTAGTTATTGTACTCTTCATCCGGTATTGTCAAAAATAATTCCTTAGACCCATAAAGACTACGGATCTGAACTGGAACCGGTTCCCCTAGAGGTAGGTGGCGCTGTAATTTATTAATTACAATCACAAGAAACTCACCTTCAACTGACTTGGGTTTCCAATTGTCGTCCTGGAGGGACGCATTTTGAAGCGATGAGACACCCATCGTAGTACATCATTTTTGTGTCGCAGAGGGCATGACAGTTTGAGAACCAGGGTGTCTTGTTTTCCTGGACAGGTATTGAGGTTGAATTCAGCTTGCCACGAGTTCCTTAACTCTCTCACGTTCCTAGGAAAATATGTGGAGTCAGAAGTAAAACTTACTTTCCAAGTCGGCCGATAAGCACACCACCCATATACGCCGGTATTAGGAAAGTTTCGTGCCAAATGTCCCTGTCGACAGCTTCAGCCCACATATCACTGGGAATGAGAACTGTTGGTAGGATTTTCCCGTTTATTTCTTCAGGATTAGCTTCATATATGTCATTTGAGGGGTCACTGAAGCCATCTGGTGGCATCGGAATTCCGCACAACCCATCGTTTGAATCAGGGGTCAGAGCTCGATCAGATTCAGAACCTGAGTTCGTCTTCAGTCTATTATTTACTGACTGGATAACTTCCATTTGTAACAAGTACGAAGGAGTCACTGAACAAAATGCTTCCTCGGCTTGAGGTTGTGCGTCTAAGAATGAAACACTTTGTAATTCCGTGACTGATTCTTTCAGTGCCACTGAATACCCGTCGATAGGGATTGACTAGGGGTTAATAAGTTACGAATTAATAATACCTTTACAAAGCTTTCCGAAGATGAGTTTATAGGACTAGAACTACCTTCTTCAGTAACAAGATCCTAAGGTAAAATTCAATCAAATTATGAGATTACTTGTAGATAGTAGGATGTCTCGTGAAAATAGGTTGACCGAGAAGTCAGACAATATCCAGAAGCCTGTGAAAGGCTCCCTTCGCTTACTAACTTAAGCTTGCGCTTTCTCCGATAGTAATTTAGCAGATATACCAAAGTAACAGCAAAAGCAGAGTAAACAACCAGCCTACTTCGTGTAGGCATGCAACTAAACTGTAACCAAAACTACTGAAGCACGTTATAACATAGTAATACAACACTTACCGCTACAACCTTGATGTCAACTCCTGCGACGTGAAAAACATGCGTGAACTTAAAGTGCCCGCGGCCATATATAGACTCGCATAAACAATGTCTTAGACATTACCAAACAATGTCGTTGAAGTTGTAAGTATTAGGTCTTGAGTTGTTATACATCGTAGTTTTTGTGAAAGTCTACTCATTCAGCCTCTAAAACATTTATCACGGGGATATAGTTCTTTTTGAGCAGTAACAGATTCCATTTCAAGGCTCATTCTTTAGACTTTAGTTTCCACACAAGAGAGTGGTCTTATGAATTAAGCCTTATTGTTTGATTGACTTTCTCTGAATCTTCTGCAAGCACGAAAATCTTGTTTCGTTTTCCAAATGACTCCCAGAACACCGAACATAAGACTTACCTAGTCATCCAAAAATACTACTGGGACAGCCTAATCATTTAAGCCCACAAATATGAGTACAATTCATATTCCTCCAGTGACTGTCTGCTGCACGGTTTGCCAAAAGTTCTAGTGCCCCAAATTTTTAATGGTTCTGCGAATGATGTTGGTTTGTGATGTCTGAACCTCCTTTCTTCTAGGAACTTTGGCAGGACGGTGAGGCATAACAGATCCATGAACTCAGAATTCTCCGTTTTCTAATTCTGCAAGGCATGTATGCAAAGCATTTTCACATATATCGTAAGATCCACTTCAGGTTAACTGTATATACACACATAAGCCTCGGTACGTTTATTTTGGTGAAGTTATCCATGGTGGTGGAATTATCCCTCTGAGCATATGCTGGATATCATCATGTAATAACAACGTAAACATGCACAAATGATGAATCTGATATGCCAAACAACATATTGAAGGCAAAATATGCACAGCTTTCCATCTTGGTACAGAGAGAGTTCACCTACTGGAAAATAAAATGGTACATTCAGATACTAACACTAAACAATATAACGGCTGCCTATGATTTGAACTTCAAATGTTCTAAAACAGCTAGGCCTAATTGAGGTTGTTTGCAGGGCTTTCACCTCGTTCAACGATTGGTTTTGGCTAAAATAGCACAAGCGATTGTCTTCTAGCCACCCACTGTTAAAGATTTACTTCTTCCGCAAACCAGTGTCTGCAATTACTGGCAAACCATTGAAAACTTATATTCCTCTATTAAACACACGTGTCATGATTAGTATGACTATCAAACGGTCTGTTTGAGTTATGCACTTTGAACCAACCAGCATGAAAAGTGAAGCACCATTATACACACTCCAATGCCGGCGAAAGCATAGCCAATTTGATACTTTATTTCTCCTTGTAAATGACTTTTCAAATTCAAAAAAATACATGACTCCACACTTGTTGCTATGCATCGTGAGGGTATCAAAGATGAAGACCTGATTGCTACTAAAAATGGTACTCTAATTCAATCCCAAATTCTATAGTAAACAAAGGTGAACTAATCCGATATTTCAGTCACCTGGCTAATTTTAGTGATGATGCAGCTTGCCCACCAGCTTAGGTGCGCTAGTCTGTAGGGTTGGTGGGTAGTGTAGCAAAAGCTCATGTATGGCAGGGTTGACAGCCGTAGATCGTCTAAACCAACTGGAAGTGTTAGTCACTGTAACTTATAATTTCTGGTCTTCTTTGGTTATATTTGAACTTATTTGACTGCTCATATTCGTACGTGCACTTTACTTACTTTTTTCATCATAATAGTTGATTAATTGATCATGGAGTCCGACTCAAAATACTTTATTTCTACAGGGAGAGACACCTTAGTAACTGTGGAAACTAGCATACCTGAATTTGATAGGCATGATCGTGAATTATGTTCCCTCAATTAGAGCGTTACTTCGACCCCTATAACATCAAGTCTGACAGCTCCAGGTATAGGGACGTACGTTCTTAACTATCTTATCCTATTAGCAAAGAAGTGCAGGGGCTTAAACCCCATCAGAGCAACCATATGCTACACTTAAGCGTAAATTGATAAATCGCTCTTTTATATCTAAAAACTACGCATCCAACGATTATTTCTGAGAGGGACCAAGGGAGGTATATCCCCATCACAATTCTTGCATCACTTGCAGCAGTATGTGGAAAGCAGCATGGCTGGAGAGGATGTGACGAAGAAAGACTGTATGCAGGATCTTCCGGAATATGTGCAATATGCACCAGATGCTCAGAACCCAACTCCTCTCCCTAGCATTTAGCGCGCATTGCAGACCGAATAATGGAGAGCAATCACCTCAATGAAGGAGAAGGGAATTATGCAAATAGGCATGATGACCTAGTAGTCTCATAGCTTGTGACCAGCGTTAGATCACCAACGCAAATACTAACATAATTGCAGTTAACGCATGCAAATAGCAAACAAACTTCTTCAAACCTTGCACACAGCAATTACGTCACATACTATATCATCGCCGCTGGAGGATCTAGCAACAAAAGTCAGGAGGACACCACCAGATAATATGAAAGATTAGGCACCTCATGGCAGACAACCCCTGAGGTCATAAGCAGATCCAAGCAAACCAGATCAACAGAGAAATCTTGTTGGCATCACTGCAGCTTTGGTGCAAGATCAAAGATATGAACGTAATCATGTGCCCGGCTTGGATCAATGAACAGGCAACAGGGAAACCAGTAGAACCCTATGAATTAGCGACTTTTCAAAGAGAGGGCTCTGATAGTCGCTTACTTCGCACCATGAAAAGAATCTGGCACAGATTTCTTGAACGATGCTGGGCCACAGTCATACTAAAAGCAGAAGCAAGGCTGGGACGATGACTTATCTCCATCACTATATAAGCAGTCAACGGGACCAAAATTTTGACTTTCGGTCAGAAAACCCTGACACTTGACCTAGAGTCCAAGCAATAGCTCCCATAGATTTTCACTGTTGCTGACCCAAACCTAGTAATTATTGGCGTAGAATTCATAGAACAGTATAACTTGATATTGGATACTCGAAAAAGACGACCAACATTGAGAAAAACATCCAGGTATGCTAATAGCAAGACGAGCCGTCATGAACCACTAAGCCTAGTTCGTTCTCCATCAGTATTGACCGAAAGGTTTTGGGAAATACTGGCGGAATTTCCTACTCTAACTGCCAAGGTCGCTCGAAAGATCACACATATAATAAAGAAAAGTGGTCCCCCTTTTCTCGCTAGGCTGAAAATTCTGAGTCCCAAAGAGCTAGAAATAGCGAAAGCGGAATTCGTATACATGCCCCAGTTGGAGACAGTCCGTCCGTCAACTAGCCGTTACACACGGTTTCCAAGAAGAATCAAACTGACTGGCTATCCTGTGGTGATTACAAACTCCTGAATAGACAAACCGTTCCGTACAAATATTAATAGTCACAGCGTCATCACAATCTCTGCTAAAACAGACTTAGTTTGAGCCTACCACAACGTCTCAGTGACTGAGGAAGATCTGTTTAAAACAGACATCACCAGTCCATTCGAACTTTATGAGTTTGTGCGGATGCTATTTGGTCTTCGGAATGCTGCACTTTTTTCAAAGACTGTTGCGAGGCCCACCGTTTCTTAAAGCTTCCGTAAACGCCCCACCCATCGTTAGCCCAGGTACAAAACCACATGAAGATCACATTTGGGAATCGTTAGGAAAAATGATGGGAAAAAGAGAAAATCTGCTCCCTGCAAACAAACTCCTGGAAACAAAGAGCATGACAACCAATCAAAGTAAGCGCTATTCCGAACAGTAAAAATAGGTGTCAATCAACTCTCATAAACCGTTAATGCCAAGCTCCCTCTACGCTGGGCCTCACGCTGTCCCTCGAAAATTTTAAGAAATGCTTAGCAGTAACGGACGCTAAATCCGAGACACCGATTGGCGACTCGAGAATTCTTTATTCTAACACCAACATATAGTCAGCATTATTGGCATTACGGACTAAGAACAAATATTACAAAAATAAATCACGATATTACTTCTGACAGCTTTTGTCGATCTTCTTTCTGAACAGCGACCGATGAGACGATGACTGGCAGATTGACGAGCCGCGAAAATTATGGGGAAGTTGGGTTTGAGCAAACAACCATGAAGTGATCGTTCAATCTTCAACTGCATTGACAATAGGATTCTTCGAGCACGTTTTTTAGAGTCTTGGCATTCAACCACTGCACAAATAGGTGTTTACCATCGGGCAGTATCATTACCGACTTCCGTCACTCAACTGCTATGTTTCCTAGGGTTGATCGACTTTTACAGACGCCTTATACATAATTTTGCACAATACACGCAGCCTCTCACTAATGCACCACGGGGTTAGCAGAAAAACATTTAGTTATCACAGGAGGCGACCGATGATATCGCACAACCGAAGGACGCACTGCCAAACACTACAACAACAAAAGCATCCTGACACAGGTATTAATAATAATAGTATATTCTCATTTTGTACATGAGGGACGCCAGTTTACAGGCATCACCAATATGATAAATTACATATACGATTAGCAATCATACTTAATAATAATTTTTTAATAAAATACACATTTTTTCCTACCTGTGTAGGACACACCAAATGTACAGGCATGGATAAGCACTATTTAAATTTCATAAATTTGGTTTATGGTTAAATTACATGATCACTGACGTCTTTGCCTTTCGTTTGTGGGAACAATATGATAACCAGTCATTCAATGGAGCACATCATGAAATATAGAAATATTGTCTTCGCGTTAAGAAAAAACCCCAAGTATGTTTTGGATGGATTACAAAATTAGTCTGCCCGCTCCTAACATCTTCCTCATTGGTGCGGCAAAATATCGACAAGTTTCCTTCATGTTTTACCTGCAACTATAATTGCCAAATAACATGTATATGCGGGACAAGTTACATTCGGAGAACAGAAAGAAGGGCCACGGTCAGATTCTAAAGAACTCTACAATTACCAAACGCGTGATGGATGCTAGACACCAATTA